CACAATCCCACTCCTGTACACTAGAGCTTGGCACCTTCCCCCTCCACTCCCTCCCTCCCTCCCTCTTTCCCTCACACACTCACACACTCACACACTCACTCACAGTACATCCTGTGTGTTGGTAGTATATCTAAGAGAATTCCAAACATGTCATTTCAATGTATTGGCCTATTGTGCAGGCCATTTCTGGGAAAAGACAATTCAATTCAATTCACTCAATAACAACCATCATCACACACACGTACGGCAACACACACACACGTTGATGTTAATTTTACAGAAATCCTGCATTATTTTGTGGCAAATGTGAGCTAAAAAATGATAATGCATACCCAGAGAAACAGGAGAGAGCATGCCCTTACTTTCTCTCTCTTTTCTCTCTCTTCTTTCTATCTCTTCTTTTCTCTTCTGTTCTCACTACCTCATCTCTTAGTTTTTTTGCCAATTAATCTTACAGTAAACTTATTTCAGCTTCATTAAAGTAGCTGTCCAGTGAAAATCTCACTTTTAAAAGTTAATATTCTGTTAATTCATACCCAGATAATGTTGTTGACGTGTCTTCTACTCATATTTGTGTCCAAAGCATAAATTTGAGAAAAAACTCTTCAAAAACCCGACCTCAAACTTGTATCTCAAACTTGCTATTTCCTCATAGAGAATTACGTCATCCTGCCTCATTGGCTGAGCTTACCAATCAGCAGTCTACTCACGTGAATATTTTCTATGACCGATATATGCCCACTCATACTTCATTTAAAAAATTGAAGGAAAAGTAGGTATTTCACTCATATTTCATAGAAATCTGGAAACACTGGATAGTTACTTTAAATAAATAAACTCAATACCTTTGTAAATATTAAGAGAGTTATGGCTATTTTTGTCTGACACAACTAAAAGGACATCACCCAAACAAAACAAGAACTAAAGTGATACATTGGCCTGAAAGTAGCCATGCACTCTTAGAAAAAAGGATTCAAAAAGGGTTATTTGGCTGTCCCCATAGGAGAACCCTTTTTGGTTCCAGGTAGAACCCTTTTTGGTTACAGGTAGAACCGTTTTGGGTTCCATGTAGAACCCTATGTGGAAAGGGTTCTATATAGAATCCAAAATGGTTCTACTTGGAACCAAAAGGATTCTACCCGGAACCAACAAGGTTTCTTCAAAGGGTTCTCCTATGGGGACAGCCAAAGAACCCTTTTAGGTTCTAGATTTCACCTTTTTTCTAATAGTGTGGATAGGCAGGGGGCATAATACCAAGCATCTAGAAGGGTGGTAGTAGGCAGAGAGAACAGCCCTATGCCATGAGTGCTCTGTAGAAGGACATACACAATATAATATATATAATATAATATGCCATTTAGCAGACGCTTTTATCCAAAGTGACTTACAGTCATGCGTGCATACATTCTTTTTTTTTTTTATGTGTGGTCCCGGGGATCGAACCCACTACCATGGCGTTACAAGCGCCGTGCTCTACCAGCTGAGCTACAGAGGACCACAATGCCCTAAGTAAGCCTCGTCCCAACCAGAACGAGCCCCTGGACAGGCAACAGTCACAATGCCCTATGGGGGTCAATACATACTCAAAGGAACATTGGCTGTGTTGATTTCCTCCACAGTGGCAGTAAAATGCTGTAGCATCAGAAAAAAACAACTTTTATCCAAAGTCTCTACCACTTTCTAAAGAATGTTTTGATATTCAGTGAGACTTTCAGAAGATTCTTGGCTGTTAAAATGTCATGAGTGATGATGCAACTTAAGTAAAAGGTCAGATTGGATATCAGCTAAATAATGTTCTTATCAACTCAAATATTAGCCATGTTCTTACCACTGAATATCAGCCAAAGCTATATGTTCTTATCACCCCGAATCTCAGCCAGCCTAGAGTTGATCAGAGTGCATGGGGCTTTAGTAACACCAAGAGTCCATTGCTTTATTTGAGAGGCAGACAAAGGGATAAAAATAGCTCCAGAGTGCTCCGCCCCTCCTGCCTGATCAAAAGCAGACTGTTTTAATTTGGCTTGTTCTTTCTTTCTTTCTTTTTTGGCGAAACTGCAATTACAGTACAGCTCTCCTCTTAGAGAACTTTATTCAGCTTAAGTCCTTCATGTTGGTAGACATCCTGTAGGCAAAGCTCCATGATGCAACAACTGTCAAGGAGAGTAGAAGAAAGGTTACTGCTACAGTTACAACCTCAAAGCTTCTTCTTGTTCTGTGGAACAGTTTACCAAGCTACCAGAAAACTGTCATCAGAGTATAGCTGTAATGTGTCACTTAAAAAATATCAGAGAAATAACATGGTCATTTGATTAGGGGTATTCTTTCATGAGGTCACTCTTAAACGGGCTCTGGGCTGTTGATATTGTTGTAAGTTGTAAATATTTGTAATTGGTGCTACTGTTGTTATTTTTAATTGAATTATGTATAAAGTGTTCTTTCTTGCCCACCTAGCATTTTGCTGCCAATGAGGACAATGGAAATAAGCTTCCAGTCTTTATCCTCAATCACTTTTATTTATCTAATCAATTAAAATCAGTCAATTCTGATTCACTGCAGTGCTGTTCATGACTCTCTCACGACTCCACTTGCACCCTAACCTCCCTCAGCCTCACACATTCAATTCAAGTTGGCTAATGAGGGTGTGTGTGGGCATGGGTGTGTGGGCTCTGTGGTTGATGACCTTTAAGTGTCTAACCGTCTTGGGAAGGTGCCGTTTGGGAGGCGTGGCTGATAGGGTGGTTTTCTCTGAATGTTACAGAAGTGTCACCGCACTAAATAGAGACCACCTGCCTCCCAAGCAACACCCACTAAACATCACAACAATAAAGCTCCTCTGGAGAGCTTACAGTGCCTTCAGAAAGTATTCATATCCCCTTGAATTATTCCACATTTTGTAGTGTTACAACCTGAATTCAAAATGGATTAAATTATTTATATTCTTGCCCATCTACACACAATACCCCATAATGACAAAGTGAGAAAAAACAATGGTGCAAATGTATTGAAAATCAAATACTGTATCTCATTTACATTAGTATTCACACCCATGAGCCAACACTTTGTAGAAGCACCTTTCCCAGTGATTACAGCAGTGAGTCTTTCTCGGTAAGTCTCTAAGAGCTTTCCACACCTGGATTGTGCAACATTTGCCCATTATTCTTTTCAAAATTCTTCAAGCTCTGTTGGAAATTGGTTGTTGATCATTGCTAGACAAACATTTTCAGGTCTTGCCATAGATTTTCAAGTAGATTTTGGTCAAAACTGTAACTCGGCCACTCAGGAACATCCACTGTCTTCTTGGTAAGCAACTCCAGTGTAGATTTGGCCTCGTGTTTTAGGTTATTGTCCTGCTGAAAGGTGAATTCATCTCCCAATGTCTGGTGGAAAGCAGACTGAACCAGGTTTTCGTCTAGGATTAGCTCCTTTATGTTTCTTTTTTATCCTAAAAAACTCCCCAGTCCTTAATGATTACAAGCATACCCATAACATGATGCAGCCACCACTATGCTTGAAAATATGGAGTGGGGTACTCAGTAATGTGTTGTACTAGATTTGCCCCAAACATAACACTTTGTATTCACGACAAAAAGCTGATTGCTTTGCCACTTTTTTGCAGTATTACTTTAGTGCCTAGTTGCGAACAGGATGCATATTTTGGAATCTTTTTTATTCTGTACAAGCTTCCATCTTTTCACTCTGTCAATTAGGAGTAACCACAATGTTGATCCAGCCTCAGTGTTCTCCTATAACAGCCATTAAAATCTGTAACTGTTTAAAGTCACCATTGGCCTCATGGGGAAATCCCTGAGCGGTTTCCTTCCTCTTCGGCGACTGAGTTAGGAAGGACGCCTGTATCTTTGTAGTGACTGAGTGTATTGATACACAATCCAAAGTGTAATTAATAACTTCACCATGCTCAGAGATATTTAATGTCTGCTTTTTTTTTTTACCCATCTACCAATAGTTGCCCTTCTTTGTGAGGCATTGGAAAACCTCCCTGGTCTTTGTGGTTAAATCTGTGTTTGACATTCACTGCTCGACTGAAGGACCTTCCAGATAATTTTATGTGTGGGGTACAGAGATGAGGTAGTCATGCAACTTATTATGTTACTTGTTAACAAAATAGGCTTGCAATAACAAAGGGGTTGAATACTTATTGACTCAAGACATTTCAGCTTTTCATTTTTTATAAATTTGTAAACATTTAGAAAACATAATTCCACTTTGACATTATGGGGTATTGTGTGTAGGCCAGTGACAAAAAAATCTGAATTTAATCCCTTTTCAATTCAGGCTGTAACACAACAAAATGTGGAAAAAGTCAAGGGGTGTGAATACTTTCTGAAGGCACTGTATATGGTTTGCGTCCTAAATGGCACCCTATTCTGCACTAAGTCACTATATAGGGAATAGGGTGCCAAAACCAACTACTGTATGGGTTCGGGGTCTAGAACAAGAACCAGATAAACAACTGTATAACTTATATAACTCAAACACTTTGGTGGAAAGCCATCTCATGTGACAGTACCAGCACTTCAGGTGAACATCATTTCATTGTATGAGGTTATTCTTCTTATCTAAACTTGGGAGGTGAATTTATGCTTTGCAAGGTTATAATGTCTTCTCAATTTGTTTTGTTATTTCCTGTTTTAGAGCTTCAATGCTCTGGAGCCCGGTGTTGTTGTCGCCAAGGAGAGTTCGGACTCAGTCGGGACCAGGTTTCAGCTGCTGCGCAACGCTGACATCCTTCCTCCCATACAGTGAGGGAAAAAAGCATTTGACCCCTGCTGATTTTGTACGTTTGCCCACTGACAAAGAAATGATCAGTCTATTATTTTAATGGTAGG